GAAATGGAACCTTAATTATGGGGAATGGCTGGGGAGGGGCTTTGACCTGGTCTTGGGGTTTTCCCACTCTTTGGCACACCTCACAAGACATAGGTAGAAACATCCTTCCCATTCCCTCCCAGTGGAAGGACTTCCCCAAACGGTCTTTGGTCCTGTTCACTCCAGCATAGCCATTAGGATGATCGTGGGCTAAGCTCAAGAGCTTTACCCAGTACTTAGTTGGAATTACCAACTGTCTTTGAGGAGGCCAGTCTTCTTGGTGTCCACCAGAAAGAGTTTTCTTGTATAAAAGTCCTCTTTCTACAACAAACCGGGAGCTGAGAGTTGGTGGGTTGCGCCGTGCCGCCGTCCAAGCTCCCTGGAGGCTTTCATCTGCTTCCTGCTCAGCCTGGAACTGTTCCCTTGATGCTGGAGACATCAGTTCCTCACTGGATTGTGGATTTGGGCTTGGTCCCTCTGGAAGCGATGTAGGTGATGGGGTTGTTTTCGTTGACTGTGACCCGCTCTCCACTGGTGCACTATGTTGTATTTCAGGTTCCGGCTGAGCCTCTTGCATAGGTTTATCTGCTGCTGCCAGTGCAGGCTCAGTGGTGCCCTCTGGCGTTGGAGTGGTAGATGGGATTCAATGCTGGATTCAGTGCTGGCTGCTCTGCCCATTCCGGTTCTGGTTGGATCTCTGGGACTGGATCCACTATGGCTGTTGCAGTCATTGGCAGGGGATCTGGTTCTACCACCTCAGTTTGGGGCTCTGGTACAGGGATAGGCATGGAGGCTTGCTTAGTCTGGCTGCGGGTGACCATTCCCACCCTCTTGGCTAGCTTCACATGGTTGGCCAAGTCTTCCCCCAGCAGCATGGGAATGGGATAATCATCATAGACTGCAAAAGTCCACATTCCTGACCAACACTTGTACTGGACAGGCATCTTGGCTGTAGGCAAGTTTAAAGAGTTGGACATGAAGGGTTGAATCGTCACTTGGGACTCTGAGTTGATGAATTTGGGGTCCACTAAGGATTGGTGGATAGCTGACAGCTGTGCTCCAATGTCCCTCCACGCAATAACCTTCTTCCCGCCCACACTCACAGTTTCCCTTCACTCTGAGGGTATCTGGGAAGCATCTGGGCCTGGGGAACTTTGGTGTGATTCTGGTGTAATGAACTACAATCTCCAGCTCGTTACATTTAAAACATCGCCCAGCTGACTGGTCACTGGGGCAAGGTGGGTTGCTGGAGACTGGTGGGGTGGGACGATAAGGTGTTTGGGGTTTTCCTTGGGATGTTGGTGGGGCCTTGGGCTGCCCCCGGTGGTAGGGTGGTGTTTCGGGTTGTCCCTTCTGATATCCGCTCCAACTGCTACTAGCTTTTTTCTTTTCTGCCACCTCCACCCATTTGGTTCCGATCTCCCCCACCTCGATTATAGTTTTGGGCTTCCCATCTAGGATGTACCTTTCTGTTTCCTCAGGAACACCCCCTAAGAATTGCTCTATTTGCATTAGGAAAGATAGATCTTCAAGAGATTTAACACTTGCTCCTGATATCCAGGCATCCCAATTTTTTTACAATGTGGTAGGCATGTCAGGAAAATGCCACGTCTGGTTTCCACCTTAGGGCTCTGAACCACCGACGGGCATGCTCGGGTGTTAGCCTCATTGTAATTCTGGCCTTTTTAAAAAAAAGTTTGTAGCTGTTCATGTTTCCTTAGGCATTTCAGCTGCCACCTCTGCTAAGGGTCCACTGAGCTGTGGCCTCAGCTCCACCATATACTGATCTGTAGAGATGCTGTACCCAAGGCAGGACCTTTCGAAATTTTCTAAGAAGGCCTCTGTATCATCGCCTACCTTGTAGGTGGGGAATTTTTTGGAATGGGGAGCGGTAACCGGAGAAGGATTGTCAGGATTATCTGGTAGACTCAGTTTAGCCCTTTCCAGATCTAAGCGCTTCAGCTCTAATTCCGTATCCAAGCGTTTTGCATGTTGCCTCTCCTCCGCTTCCAACTCCAAGCGCTTTAAGGCCATCTGTCTTTCATGTTCGTTCTGTCTCTCTTCAGCTTCCAATCTGGCTAATTCTAGTTTCTTTTGGACCTCACTTTACGTCATCCTAGCCTTCCTATGCTTAGCCTAGCCTAACCCAACCCAAGAGCTAGAAAGAAAGAAAGGAAAAAAAAAAACCAGCTTGTTAATTCCCTTGCTGTAACTTAATTCCTCTGCCTCCAGGCAAAGAAAAAAAAAACTCCAGCTGCTCTCAGCTTAAAAAAAAAAAAGTATCCTTTTAAAAAAAACCTCCCTGGTTTTCAATCAGCCAAAAGAAAAAATGTTTTTAAAATCCTGAGGTCTGTGCTTCTGGTTCAAAATTATCCCACCGCGCTGCCACCATGTCAGGGTTCCCTCCCCACTCTGAACTCTGGGGTACAGATGTGGGGACCCACATGAAAGACCCCCTAAGCTTATTTCTACCAGCTTAGGTTAAAAACTTCCCCAAGGCACAAATCCCTTCCTTGTCCCTGGACGGTATTGCTGCCACCACCAAGTGAGTTAGGCAAAGATTCAGGAAAAGGACCACTTGGAGTTCCTATTTCCCCAAAATATCCCCCCAAGCCCCTTCACCCCCTTTCCTGGGGAGGCTTGAGTATAATATACCAACCAATAGGTTAATCAAGTGAGCACAGACCAGACCCTTGGGTTTTTAGGACACCAAAAAACAATCAGGTTCTTAAAAGAAGAACTTTATTATAAAGAAAAAAGTAAAAGAAGCACCTCTGTAAAATCAGAATGGAAGGTAATTTTACAGGGTAATAAGAATTAAAACACAGAGGATTCCCCTCTAGGCTCAACTTCAAAGTTACAAAAAGCAGGAATAAACCTCCCTCTTAGCATAGGGAAAATTCACAAGCTAAACCAAAAGATAATCTAATGCATTTCCTTGCTTTACTTACAATTTTTGTAATCTTAGATGCTTATTTCAGGTAGGGTTTTAGGAGAGGTTTTTTTTCCGGCCTGGTCCCTCTCTCTGTCCCAAGAGAGCACAACAAAGAGACACAAACAACCCCTTTCCCCTCCCCCCCACATCTCCCGATTTGAAAGTATCTTCTTTCCTTATTGGTCCTTTTGGTCAGGTGCCAACCAGGGTATTTGAGCTTCTTAACCCCTTACAAGTAAAGGAGGGATTTTATGCTACCTTTAGCTGTATGTTTATGACAACGTCAGTATAGGAGGGAGAACAATGTGTCCTGGAATAGGTAGGGGAAACCTGCCCTGAAATTTGAGAGTCTGATGAGTCCTCTTCCACATACTCATAGCTGTTCAGCTTGCAGAGTAGATGAGGGCAATGTGGTGTTCTAGGTGATAGCGGGATCGGTGATCAAGAGAGTCTTGACAACTGACTAATCCGCAGCACTTGTTAACAGAGGAGACTCTGGCTCAGAAGGTATTATCAGATCCTTAGGGTACCTAAACTCTTGAGATACTGACAGTATCAAAGATTGGGCTGAGTGGGAACCTATGGAGGATGGCTTCAGTACTGTTGCAGCTGGCACCGAGCACTTGTTATGGGATTCCCTCAGTACCGTAGGTAGGTGAGCAGTCTTTGGTCATGTTGATTTTCTTGTTATTTGTACTGAGTGTTGTTTAGGGACAGAGGTGGTCTTTTCAACCCAGGGCAGAGTTAAGTAAGGTTAACTGGCTGTGAGTGGTGTCTATTGATGAGCACAGGTGATTTGTAGGGGAATGGAAAGTCTGCATGCTCCTTTCTAACTGAGCAATTTGTATCAATTCTGTGAGAGGCAGAAACAGTTTCTTTAAAAAAATCCAATTTTAAACAGGAAAACCATGTGAAATAGGGAAATTCCTCTCTAACTCCATTATGGCTGATGGAAATCACCTTAGGAAATCCTTACTGTGCTTAAATTTTGTTGCAATATTTGATGGAACTGTAAGATCTATTTAAACAACAGTCTACAGTGATAAGAACATAAGAACGGCCATAATGGGTCAGACCAAAGGTCCATCTAGCCCAGTATCCTGTATTCTGACAGTGGCCAATGCGAGGTGCCCCAGAGGGAATGAACAGAACAGGTAATCATGAAGTGATCCTTTCCCTGCCGCTCATTCCCAGCTTCTGGCAAACAGAGGCTAGGGACACCATCCCTGCCCATCCTGACTAATAGCCATTGATGGACCTATCTCCTCCATGAATTTATCTAATTCTTTTTTGAACTATGTTATAGTCTTGGCCTTCACAACATCCTCTGGCAAAGAGTTCCACAGGTTGACTGTACGTTGTATGAAGAAATACTTCCTTTTGTTTGTTTTAAACCTGCTACATATTAATTTCATTTGGTGACCCCCAGTTGAATCTTATTCTGTGAAGCTGAGGAATATTGACATAATTAATATTTATGAACTCTTTGTCATATTTGCTGTACTGCTGCAAACTGATTTGACAATACTTACCTAAGTAAAGCAGTTAATAATTTTGTCTTTGCTTTTTTAAAACCAGAGAAGAAAGAATTATTTTTCTATAAATATTTTAATAAAATTTATTGTCGGTCATTTTCAACAAAAGCATTCCAAAAAAATGAGATGCCTTGTGTAAAATTCTGAAGAAAGTGATTTTTCTCAAGATATAATTTTACAACTACCTAATTACTTAGGAATGCAAAAGAACTTTAAAAAATTCAAACGTATTCAGATTTATCATTTCCATTACTTTTCTCCAAAAAAAATTCAAGTCAGAACACAATTAGGTGGTTACAAAAGTCCCATAACATTTTTTGTCAACTGCAACGATCTGTCACTATGGTTCTAGGGTACATCAATATAGTATCATCACAGAATCATTGAGTGTAAGGCCAGAAGGGGCCACCACATCACAGGCCACCAACATCACCCAGCCATCCACACACTAAACTCAACAGACAAAAGTATTACAATATATCTACACCTATAACATATAAACATTTCATAGTGATACAAAGGTCTGAACCATCTATTTCAATAAAACTCACTCTCTTGCCAGTCCCCCTGCCCACTGGTGGATGTGCTTCAGCAGCTTGTCGAATTGTACACACCATCAGCTCAATCAGAGCACTCTCTTGTCGGTCAGACATTGCTGTGGAGAAAGAAAAGGAAAGTAGATTTGATCAACTGTATTAAGGTAATCATATACATGGTGATTTTATGGAATGCATGCACAAAATGTAGTAAACTAGTCAATGGTAAAACTTTGAAGAGTACCTAAGTGATTTAGAAGCTGTAATCCCATTTTCAAAAAGGGGTCTAGGGCCTGATTTTCAAAGGCATTTAGGATCCTAATGATGCATAGAGGAGCCTAATGAGATTTTTAACAAGCACCCATTGATTTAATTAGGAGTTAGGTGCCTGGGTGCTTGTGAAATTCTAATTAGGCACCTAAATACCTTTGAACATCTGGACCTAAGGTCAATGTTGAAAATGGGACTAAGGTACTTCTGAAAATTCTACCCTGAGGCTAAATGTTAATTTAGGACACAATCTATTCAGAACCATTATATAAGCTTTTCAAAATAATCTATTTCACCATTATCAGAAATTCCTGGTTTAACAGATTTTAAGGTCAGAGGGGACCATTATGATCTTTTACTCTGACCTCCTACAGAACATAGGCTACAGAGTTCTATCCAGTGGTTCCTGCATCAAGCCCATAAGTTCTGGTTGAGCTAGAAATCTTTTAGAAAAGCAACTGGCTTTGATTAAAATACTTTAAGTGATGGAAAATCCACCACACTCCCTTAATTGATTGTTCCAGTGGTTAATTAAACTCACTATAAAATTCATAAATTATTTCCATTTGGACTTTATCTAGCTTCACCATCCACCCATTGTACTCCGATATGTGTTTTTCTTCAAGATTAGTACGCCCTCTACCATCAGAGATCTTCTCCTCATATAGGCACTTGTAGACTGTAATCAAGTCAACTGTCTCGTTTACAAGCAAAATAGACTGAGATCCTTAAGTCTCGCACCCTATTGCAGGTTTTCCATCCTTCAAATAATTTTTGTGGCCCTTTTCTGAATCCTCTCCAATTTTTCAACATCCTTTTAAAAGTGTGGATGCTAGAAACCACAAATCCCACATACATGGGTAAAATAATCTTCCTACTCCTGCTTGAAATTTCTATTTATATGTCCAAGGATTGCATTAGCCTCCTTAGCCACAGCATTGCACTGGGAGCTCAGGTTCACTTAGTTAGCCACTGTCACCCCTAAGTCCTTTTCAGAGTCACCGTTTTTCATTATATTGTTCCCTACCTTGTAAGTATGGCCTGCATTCTTTGTTCCTACATATATATGGCCTTGCATTTGGTTGTATTGAAATGAATGTTGTTTGATTGTGCCCAGCTTATCAACTTACCCAGATTACTCTGCAACAATGACCTGTCCTCCTCGTATTCATCCCCTGACCAATTTTTGTCATTTGCAAACTTTAGCAAGGATCATTTAATATTTTCTTCCTGACCATGGATAAAAATATTAAATAGCACTGGGCCAATGACTAATCCTTGTGGGATCCCACTAGAAACACACATATTCAATAACAATTCACCATTAACAATTACATTTTATGATCTATCAGTTAGCCAGCCTCTAATCAATTTAGTATGTACTACACTGATTTTGTAGAATGCTAGTTTTTTAAAATTAGCATGTCCTGCAGTACTAAGTGAAATTGCTTACAAGTACAACATAGTCCAGCACCTTTACCAAGAAAGCTTGCAGTCTCATCAAACAGTGATATCAAGTTCGCTTAACAAGATCCATTTTCAATTAATACCATTCAACATGGATTTATGATCTGTTCCTGCCTTCCTGGCTGAATTTTAGAGCAGCTGTACCATATTTCTGTGATCAATGTCAGGGTAACAGACCTGTTCATCACCTTTACTCTTTTAAATAACAACACATTAGCCTTTGAAATACTAAAGCCATTGGAACTCTGCACCAGTACAGGTGTCTGTCTGAATGGGGCCTTTGTGTAGTCTAGTGATCACAGCAGTGTACTTAGAGCAAAAGCTCCCAGCTTCTATTCCTGACCTTGCCACTGAATTGGGTAACTTTAGGAAAGTCGCTTAACTTTACTGTGCCTTGGTTTACCCCATTTAGAAAACGCTATTACAACAGTGATCAATATTATTATTTCAAATTTATAATAATGCAGCGATCAATGTTCTGCACCAATGTGTTTTTTCTTTTAGTTTTTATGTTTATTTTATATTAAAATGATGATGATGATAGGTAGGATTTTCAAAAAGCACCTAAATAATTTAGGAATTGAGAGGGTGGGACACAGGGAGAGTGTGCCTAAGTCATTTAAGCACTTTTACATTTCTTGCTCGTCGTATTTACCAGGATTAGATTTTAAGAGCTTGGATTTTATAAATAATGTGATAGATAATTATACCTAAAAATCATAACTGACTTTTGAAACAAAATTTTTTGGTTTCGGAATTTCCCAGGTTTATATAATGTTTTATATTTTGGTTTCTTCAGGTAAATGAAGATAGTTTAAAAAATATAAACAATTTAAATTAAAAAAGTAAGTGGTGAAGCTAACAATAATTCCTGCTAAGCACTTACACTTTCAGTGCACATCTGACAAGATATTCTTGTTCTTTCCCCACGTATGTCAATTAGATATGAAAGTGTGAACAGTAAAGTCTATTTTCACTACTCACTAAATAGCAATAGCAAATTAAGCATCAAATCCAAAACTAGAAGCCAGGTCTCCTGCTTCCAAAGCCTTTGATAAACCCATTAGGCCACAGTGTTTTAGTTAACCTATCAAATTATGTCACTGAAAATATTGGGCCTGAATTCTCTACTGCCTTGCATATTTCACCCACCTTTTACTCATTTTACACAGCTATAAATGTCCACAAAAGGTGCATGGCAGTGAAAAATTAGGCTGAAAGGGAGTGAATTACAGTATTCTACACCAAATTACTCCATTGATTTGTATGCCCGTATTTTGGACTCACCTAGTGCTTCTTCACCTGTAGCCATCAAACCACTTTACAAATGAGGTTATGAATTATTACATACATTTTACTAACTAAGGGCACAGATCTGAACAGATTTCTAAGAGTCACTGTGCTCTATAATCTTGCCACCTCAACGACCAGTGTGTCTTGTGCTAGATTTGCTACAAATTTACTAATTATAACTTTTGGCAAGTCATTAGCTCTCTTCCTCAGCTACCCAACCTGGAAAACTGACCCTGCATATTTCCACCAAGCCATGTGGATATTTTGATGGGGAATGTACAAAGATAAGCAATTTTACTTGACGTAGGATTTTCCCTTCACTTTTGAAAAGTAGCCTCAGCAAGTCTGGAGGTTAATGATATTCTCTGCTACCCCTTTTTCTCCATCATTTTCATTGGCAGAAAATCATGTCTATTTTCTGGCAATTTCTTAAACATTTTGTAGACTTAAGACCAGTATGGACCACTGTGATTATCTAGTCTGATCTCTGCATAACACAGGCCAAAGACTTCAGTGATTTCTGCATCAAGCCAAGCCAACAACTATATCTGGAGCATGTCTTAAAAAAATCCAATTTTAATTAAAAAAAAAGTCAAGTGATGGAACATTTATCACATCCTATGGTAATCTGTTCCAATGGTTCCATAACACACTAATCATAATATTCTTGCATGATGTATGTATGGTAAATGCCCAAAGGACCATACAAATATGAAGGAAATAGGGGACTAAATTGTTTTTAAATCAGACAAGTTGGGGGAGTGTGAAAACAGGTTTTTCCAGACAAAGGAAAAGCCAAGACCTCCCTCTAGTTGCAATCACAGATAATTAATAAACACTGGCATATCTGAGGTTGCAGGGACAGATCAATTTGCATTGTAGGAAGCACCAGTGGGGAAGAAACCAGCATGGAACCTCCTCCTCCAAACTCAATGGCACCTTTCCTCACATCAGGGGCACTGGACTTTGAGAAGGATACATTTCAAAAGTTCACAGGATTATAAAAGAGAAGGACAAAGAATCCTAAGTTATATTTTCACCTAAGATGACAAAGGAACTGAACATTTTGGACTTTGTACGAGATTCTGACCCAGGGTGTGGTCAGCCATTTTACTGGAAGAAAGTGTAGTAAGAATCTTACCTTGAACCAAGATTGAAGTCATTAGAAAGCATTTTTCACTTTTATTCGCTTGTAACCATTTTTGACTTTCTCCCTTACACTTGAATTCACTTAGAATCTTCTCTCTTTTTGCCAATAAACGTTTTACATTTAATCTAAACCAAGCCAGTGCTGTGTTTGAACTGAAGTGATTGTTATCTCCAGTTAAAGCAACAAACTGCTGTGTTTTTGTCTCTTTAATGGAGCAACTTTTACTTCCCTAAAAGTTCCAGTAGAAGGCTTCAGGGCAGACGGTTTGGGGGAAATCTGGGACTGGGGATGTGTTGGGATCACTCAGTTAGTAGTAACCAAGGCTGAGGGAGATCAGAGTGTGGCTATGATGTAACAAGCAGGCTGCTGAAGTCAGAGATGCTGAACCAGGGCTGCTTAAAACACAGATACTTAGTGCATGTTTGTATGGTGACTGGGAATGTCCAGACAGGGATCTCCATAATCAGTGCATTTTAGGGCACTCAGGATTACAGGACAAGCGGTGACAACCTCTCACTGGTCTGGGTTATACCTCAAAATGTTACATAGGCTGCCCCTACATGTATGTATTTGGTAAATACACATGGGGCTGAGAATAGGCCAAAGAGGAGTAATGTGTATTGATAATGCTGACCTGCCACTACAAATCTCAGAACATTTCTGTTGGTTGGGAAAAATCACTACATGGAAATATGCATCCTGAAAATGGAGGGCAGAAAACCAGTTGTTTTGATCTAATATGGAGATAATTGTAGCAAGGTTACCATACATAATCTCATATACTTGATGTACTTGTTGAGACCTTGGAGGTTAGAATAGATCTCACCCTTCCCTTGGACTTGCGAATCAGGAAATAATGTAAGTAGAATCCCTTTCCTCGATGCTGAAGGGAAACTTCTTCTATGGCTCCTAAAGCAAGCAGAGTCTGAATCTGCTGAAGAAGCAGACTCATAACAGAGCTCCCTGAAAAGGGATGAGGTAGGAGGTGAAAAGGGTGGATGGACAGGAATTGGATGGCATATCCCTATCCCACAATGCTTAAGATCCAGTTGTACATAGTTACTGTTTCCCAAAACCTGTAGAAGCAGGATAGCCTGTCCCCAAATGGACGGGATATAATCAGGAAGTTGACGAGCGGTATGCTGTCCTTGAAAGGTGAATCAAATTGGCTGCTTGCCCAAGGCTGCAGAAAAAACCACCACAGCTGAACACTCCTGAATTAAAAAAGAGGTAGAGCAAGTCTGATGCTGCCTGATAAGACTGTGGGATCAATATGGTTGATGCTGAGACTGATGTTTTTGGTACTGAACTTGAGGGATGACCTGCAAATGGTACCAGAGTCGACTGTGTGGTGATTAATTGATCTTGTCTCAATACAAGAAAGCAGGTAGACAGCCCTGCTTTATCCTGCATACTCAAGCAATCCTAATTATGGCCTGCACTTTTTTTTAGAAGAGGAGGAATCTCTCCACACTCTGGAATGGCTCCGGTCAGTCTTGTAAGTCCTCTTCCTCAGAGGACAAGACGACGAATGATCTCTTCTCCTCAGAGAAGAGTCAGAGTATGGCTGGGCAACAGCAGCCTGTGTTGCCCTGGATTTGAGGGGTGTGTAGACCCCACAATGTGATCAAGCCAATTGCAACTATATTATGTGCATTCAGCCACCATGAATTAATGAAATAGAACAGAAAGTGAAATAGAAAGAAGTGAACCACAGTTCTATTGCATGAATTCCCAGCTGGCATAAGATAGATCTGGCCCTTGGCTTGTACTGGGGCCAGTGCATGGTCCACAAAATCAGGGAGCATACTCCTGGATGGCCCCTCCTGAGTGAATTTCATCTCAGGAGAGAAACTGAACTTAGCAACGGCTCTTAGTTGTAAACCAAAGAGCAATATGTTAATGTTCATTAACAGATTGTTCGGATAGTAGACTTCCTAATGACACTGTCAGAAAAACCAATAGAGGAATTCAATGAGATACAGAAGAACTGTATTTGGAAAGTATTGTCTTTCAGGCTTGACAAAAGTCTATTGTTAACATATATTCCCATGATGGTATGCACAAACACAGGCATCTATTCTTACTTCATTCATTACACTAGATTCAGCAAAGGAATTCAGAAGCAAGATTCCATTCCCCTCCTCTCCCCCTCTTTTCTCAACATAGCTGTTTTTTGCAATATAATTGTTGTTCATAAAGAAATGTGTTATATAAACCCCTAAATTCAATAATTATCACTTGAAGTATTGGCTCTATTCAAAGCCATATTATTATTATAATTACCCAGCTTAAAGTGCCCAATAACATGCTAGTCACATCACTGTTCAGATAAGAAAAGAAGGTGCTGGCCTCTAACTGCAGACAATGTCAGAATGAAGGAGGCAAGAAAACAGTAAGATGAAAACTAGTGAGTGATTAGTAATGCCATTGTTTCAATTAAATATGAAACAAAAAAACCTTGTCCCTTTGATCACTGTGTCTTGAGAACGCATTAAGGCAGTTCCCATTTAATGTGCTGCCTTCTACTTGAAAATCTGCATTAACCCCTCCCAAAAAATCAGATTCATTAAAATATAATATCTCCATTTTGCATATCACTTCTAAATGTAGGATAGGAAACAGACATTCATATAATCCAAAGATTAACAGCATTTTTATTAAGAAGAATTAACCATATTTTATTACATTAATTTAATATATTTAATAAAATGACACAAATACCTTCTTCTCCTTGAACTGGTTCTTCCAGTAGCAATTCTGTCATGCACTCCCAATCCTTCAGTAGTTCTTGAGAGCTCTCCCACAAACTATCCACTAAGTAAGCTGCATGTTCATGCAACTAGAAATAACAAGTCAAATGTCAATAAAGCTTTCTGGTTCAAACATGGCTTCATCAACTATTATAATGGTTTGAGTGAGGACAGTGTTCTTGTATCACTAAGGAAAACTACATTTGAAATTAATGTTGGAAGGTCCACTTTCCAACAAAAAGACATGTAACTGCATAACCATGGTGAAACTTTTATTTTATGGAAAGGGTGAGTGGAGTGGGAGAAAGAAATGAGGGCTCTTTTCTAATATAACACTTTTCTTGCAGGTGTCTTCCAGGTCACAGCTTATATCATGACATGAGAAGAATCACAGAATCACAGGGTTAGAAGGGACTGCAAGGGTCATCTTGTCTAACCCGCAATCCCATCAGAATGCTTGTCACACTTTTCTGTAGAGTTAAGGTGTCATAATAGTGGACAATGCGGGGGGGGACACGGGACATTCTATCGAGATGTTTATTTTTCTTTTATTAACAGTATGTAATAGGCATAGGGAATTCCATGTTAGTTTTAATATAGTATACATCTTAACCATCATAATATCTACTGTAATAATGAAAAATTACACAACAGTGTTCATTCAACATAACACTTTACAACTATACTGCTAAAAGTTTAAAACTAATGAACTACTGTTTAACAACATAGCTCAACAACAGCAACTGGACCTGATACATTCATCTAAGAAATGTTTAAAAATGTTAGGAGGGAGGGCACTATTTATGGACAAGAAATTATTATAAAGATTTTTCAGTTTGTGTGCAGACCTATCCACTTTTCAGCATAGACACGGAACAGGAACCAAATAGCTATTGAATGTAGCTCTGAGATCTGGATACATAATGCACGATACTTTCAAAACTGCTCAGCATTGGCCTAACTTGCGTCTTACTGAAAATAATGGTAAAACTCTCATTTACCTCAATGGGCACAGAATTAAGTCAATGTTGAGTGTTTCTGAAAATCCCATCAGAAGTTTCTTTATAATAATAGCATTCAGTTATACTGAGAAAAATCATTCTGGAAAGAATAGACATTAGCTTCCACTGACTTGTAAGACAATCATGAACTACCATCAACAAGTAACACCACAGCATGCTGATTTAACTAATTACCAAGTAATGGTGCTGACCCCCAAATAAAGAAATCTTGGGTGTTAGAGGTAGCTGATGTCAGTGCCAGCTTTCATAAACTTCTGTACTGATGGGCTGTTCTCAGAGGGATATAAAATGGGATATAAAAGCTCTTTGATGCTTGTCATGGTCACAGGGCTAGCTGTACCTCTGACCCCTCCGAGTGCACTTCCATAGGTGTTCAGACCTTATGCCTTTACCTCTCTTAGGCTAGGTCTACACTACAGCGGTGTTCCGACCTAAGATACGCAACTTCAGCTACGTGAATACCGTAGCTGAAGTTGCGTATTTTAGGTCGGCTTACCTGGTGGTGAGGACGGGGGAAAGCCGACCGCTGCCGCCGACTCCGCTACCGCCTCTTGTCGAGGTGGATTTCCGGAGTCGACGGCAGAGCGATCAGGGATCGATTTTACCGCGTCCTCACGAGACGCGGTAAGTCGATCCCCGATAAACCGATTGCTACCCGCCGGATCGGCGGGTAGTGAAGACGTAGCCTTGGAGTGGAATCCCTCTATTCTCCCACTCTTACACCAGGTCCTGGGCTACAGTATCCTATGGACAGGTACGACTGGGTTTGGGTATCTTTGGTTCTTTCCTTGGGGAGTTTGCGACCAGGGATAAACACAGTAATCAGAGAGGCCTTTCAAATCAAAGTACTGTTTAATTTCAACAGTAGGCACAAAACATAATGTAAGATAAAAGGGTTTTAAAACAATAAAAAGGCTACATACATGTCTATCTTATCTAAAGAGACAAGGTAGGTGAGGTAATATCTTTTATTGGATCAACTTCTGTTGGTGGAAGTTACAAGATTTTGAGCTATACAGAGCTCTTATTCAGGTCTGGGGAAGGAAGAAGACCTCTGTGTAGCCTGACAGCTTGTATCTTCCACCAACAGAAGCTGGTCCAAGATATTACCTCACCCATCTTGTCTCTCAGATCCTGGGACCAACATTGCTACAACAACACCGCAAACAAGTAAACTTATCTCAAGTTTACCATCTCCCTGGAAAGCCTAATTTGTTCAGACTCCCCAGGATGGTCTGTGTGCCTGTTCCCCCCCGAACAGCTCCCTGACAAGTACCTCACCTCTAATCTGAGAGTCTTTTTGTCGTATTGATCTTTTGGCTCCCAGCGGGAGCAAACAAGCTGTGTAATATAGCTGGAGCCAAGGAATTAGGTTCTTCACAGTTAATAGTTCTGGTATTCTCTCTTAGCCCTTGCAGTGTTTACCAGGAGGTATTTTAGCTGGAGCCATTGTCTGGCCTTCCTGCTGATCTCCCAACCTCCTGCTATTAAACTAAGACATATGTGTACAGTAAAAAATTTCCAGTGATCCAAAATAGCTATACAATTATGAGCCCAATAACCAGGTCACATACAGTATTAATAAATTATTACATACCAGTCCCATGTCTTTCACAATCCTTATGAAGGGTAGCCTGCTAAGCCAACACCACACTATTCTAGGTTATCTTTAAGAAACACCTCTATGACAGCAAAGGCAGAGACTGACACTGAGGCAGAAGAAGTGGTCTCAGGGAAACCATATGGTTTACCCAAAAAAGCACATTTTCCTGAACCTGGCTTTAGGGACCAAGGCTAGAGTTCTATGAGCTAAATTCTCCTCTCTCCTCAGTGAGGAGGGACAAGGCTGGCACTTTGTAATCTCTCTGAGATTCAAGGGAGCAAAGCACATTGGGAACTGAAGCTCATCATGGCTGCCATAACAGTAAACCTAGCTTCCAGCAAGGTCTGATGGAATGTGAGGAATGTACAAGAACAGCACCTTTGACAGACCAGGGGAGAGACATAGAAAGAATCAGGCTTTAAAGGCCTCTCTCCTGGAAGAAGCAAGCAAATAAACCCATTTCCTTATATTTTTATTTTGCAATGATTTTTGCTGTAATTACTTTGAGGCACATATTCACATTTTTCTGAGCATTTTGTTAGTGTCCTTCTGGCAGAGCCTCCTCCTCCCTTCTGCTCTGTGTGCAGGTTACCCAAGATTCTGCCCTTAGACCTTTCTCTTCTCACTGTAAACCCTGTCTCTGGGAGATCTCATCAACCCACCTGGCTTCAACAATCATTTTATGCTGAGGACACATACATACCTCTCTCCACCACAAACCAAGATGAGATATGGCAATCTACTCCACATAGGGCTATGCTTCAAAACCTTCCAGTGGCAGAAACCAGTGTAGAAAGCAGTGGCCCACGTTATAAGTTAAGTATCTCACTAAAGGCTGCACTCATGGCTCCTTGATCCCCAGTGACTACTTGTGGCTTTCTGGGAGATGTTAACACCTATTGGACTACATTCAAATCTTTCCCCTTCTTACTTCTCCATATCGCTAAGATCCATCTGTTTCTTTCCACTCTGTAGTGAGGCGGCCTGGCTCCCGACGGCCCCTGAGAGAGAGGAACCAGAACAGGCACCCAAGTGGGCGGAGCCACCACCACCTGTTCCCGCCCCCCGGAAGTCAAGGGGCGGGACAGGAAGTATAAAAGCCAGGCCCCAGCACTCAGTTGGAGCCGAGCAGCCGGAGAGGACAGACGCTCCTGCTCGGGCTCCTGCGAGACCGAGCCTCCCCAGAGCCAGGTACCCTGACGTGGCTGGACCGAGCCTCCCCAGAGCCAGGTACCCTGACGCTGCTGGACCGAGCCTCCCCAGAACCAGGTACCCTGACGCTGCTGGACCGAGCCTCCCCAGAACCAGGTACCCTGACGCTGCTGGACCGAGCCTCCCCAGAGCCAGGTACCCCGAGGCGGACTGGCTGAGCCTCCCCAGAGCCAGGTACCCTGACGCCGACGGACCGAGCCTCCCCAGAGCCAGGTACCCCGAGGCGGACTGGCCGAGCCTCCCCAGAGCCAGGTACCCCGAGGCGGACTGGCCGAGCCTGCCCCGAGAGCGGTACCCCGAGGAGCGGCCCGAGCGGCCCCCTGACCCGAGACCGGAGGAGCGGCCCGACCTAGACAGCCCTCAGCAAGCCGAGGAGCCCATGGTGTGGGACCCCGCTGCCGAGCCCAGCGATGAGCAGGTACCTATGGAGGAGGAGGAGATGGGAAGTAGCCCGGGGATAGCAGACCCCGAGCCTATGTCAGTGTGTTGCGGTCAGGATCCCCACTGACCCCGTGGCAGACGGACTGCTGCGGATAGGGCCCCGGGCTGGAACACAGTGGAGTGGGTGGGCCTCTGTTCCCCCCTGCCACCCCCCACGCCGGGTGGCAGTCTCTCCTCCTCCCTGCCCAAGGGCCAGAACTGCCCCAAAAGGGGACCGATCCCCTGGAACTATTGTTTGCTGCCCCGCCCTGACTAAGGGCTTGGGCGTCCTAACTTTGTTTGTGCTCAGCTCCTGCTGCAAGGACCTGAGCCTCCCCTGGAACTATTGTTTGTTGCCCCGCCCTGACTAAGGGCCTGGGCTTCATGACTTTGTTATTGCTCAGCTCCGGCCACAAGGACCTGAGCCCCTTGAACTATTGATTGTTGCCCCGCCCTGCCTAAGGGCCTGGGCGTCCTGACTTTGTTAGTACTCAGCTCCTGCTGCAAGCACCTGAGCCCCTTGAACCCTTGTGTGTTGCCCCGCCCTGAGCTAGCATTTGGGCTTATGTGACGTTGTAATTGCCCCGCTCCGGCTGCAAGACCCGGAGCTTAGAACTGATTTGCTGTCCAGCCCTGACTGGGGGCTGGAGCTCCTTGCAGAGGCAGGGTGCCTTTTTGTTTAGCTCCTGCCTGAGGGGCGGAACCCCGAGACCCTCAAAACCCGAGGACTGATTCGAGCCGCGTAGTGAGGCGGCCTGGCTCCCGACGGCCCCTGAGAGGGCACGACCCCCCACACCGGACTATTACACACTCCCACAACCAAACCTCTTGTACAAGCCGTCATTATATCCTACTGCAACACCCTCCTTTCTGGCTTCTCAAACACAAACATTGCCCTTCTTTGTCCACAGATTTGATCATGTCATTCCCCTCTTCCAATCCCTCCTTTGTTATCTACTTACTATTGAATCAAGCTTCCTGTCATCATCTTCAAAGCTCTCCACATTTCTGTCCCTCCGTTTTCAAATTTCATTCTGCCTCTATCCCTCCACTCCACCAATGTTCCCAGGCTTGTCTGTTTGTCAGCTTCTTACAGTCACCTCCATGCTTTTGATCATACAACTTCCTATACATGGTACAACCTTCCTGAACCCATCAGAAGGCTGCTACCCAATTCACATTTAAGTCCCCTTTAAGACCAATTTCTGCTGTGCAGCTTACAGTGAATGGCATTGATTTGTACATACATGGCCTTGTTTTTGTTCCCCTGTTACTATATTCTGCCTAGTAGTCTGTCTATCTGTCTTTAGATTGTGAGCTCCCTGGAATAGGCACCAGACTTCTTTAATGTCCGGAAAGTGACTAGCACACATTTGGTGTGACCATAAAATAAATAAATAAATAAATAAATGCCTTCAAAGAGCATCTGGAAGACACTCAAGCTGTGAGACTTCAATTAGATTTTGTTCCCTTTTGTGACTGGTTAAAATAAAATTACCCAGAAAATATGATTGCTTCCTTTTTTTAAAGCACATTCCACAGACTCATTCTTTTATAGTTTGTCCTGCAATAGGCACCACCAAAATATACGTTCTGGTGAACTATAGTAGCCAGAGTGGGGAGAGCGGAGTTGATTACACTGAAGCCAGGCAAGAGTAAAACAAATCCTAGGGAGGATATTGGTTTGAGTTTACTTTACGGACAAGGAGAAGGGGATCAAATGCATATGGTGTCACTAGCATTAAAACCTGTTTGTAAAAGTTGATCAATCACCTTAAATAAGTTTCATGTTTTGCTAAATGAAAATTGGTATCAGAAATGTTTTTACCTCACTTTCAAGAAAGAAAAGAACCAACATCCTAATGAGGTTCCCATTTGGACTGTTCCGTCCTCTCCTCTTCGCTAATGCTTCTTCTGCCTGGGGGTCATGCCTGCTAAACAGTCTAGAAATAATTAACAGGAGTTATAATATTTATATTAAACAGCTTTGTTTGCTCAACATTATGGCTAACATGTTAATTCATAAAATACAATAAAAAAAAAAACCAAAAAACCATTCCCCTCAATAAACAAACAAACTGCATTTGTTCAGCTCCACAGGGCCAGAAGTACTTCACACAATGAAAAAATTATGAAATGTACTGGTGTAAAATGTTTGTATTATAGCTGGTATTTTAAAGTTTTAAGTTTTGTGCTGGTATGGCTATCTTGCTGAAAAACAATGTTATTGTGACACTACCAATTTAAGAACAAACTGTAGGAGGCTCTAAACTGGATTGCAGCCTGCTTTAACAATCATAAATTGAACTCAAGTATTTAAACAAAATGCTAACTATGAAAGGAGGCTGTTTTCCCCCCACCACCACTGACCTTTATTTCATAAAAATATTGAGGATGAAAATGAGTTACAGTCCAACCTTTGTATGTTTTTTAATCTTCACTTTTACTTAGTTTTGTGCACACTGGCTGGGCGTGGCTGCAACTGAACCTTGTCCTAGTAGAAGACCGCATACAGCGGTTCCGAGGTCAAGGCTTTAATCTCAGGCCTGGTCTACAGCACGCGGTTATTTCATAATTAGCCGAGTTAATTCAAAATAAAACTGATTCCATACACACGACCAAAATGGTTTTTTTTTTTTTCGATTTAAAGAGCTCTTTAATCCGATTTCTGTACTCCACCTCAGCAAGTGGAGTAGTGCTAAAATCGAGATCGCAATTCCGGGTTACAGGTACTGTGGACGCAATTCGACGTTATTGGCCTCCAGGAGCTATCCCAGAATGCTCCCTTGTGACCGCTCTGGACAACACTCAACTCTGATGCACTAGCTAGGTAGGCAGTAAAAGCCCCGGGAACTTTTGAATTTCATTTCCTGTTTGGTCACCATCAGCGCAGGTGACCATCAGCACAGTCCACCATCACAGGCGACCATGCAGAGTCCACCATCACAAGACCACGCAGTCCCAGATTCGGAGACGAGCTCCAGCATAGTCCGAATGGGAGGTACTGGATCTCATTGCATGTTGGGGACACAAATCTGTTATGGCAGAACTACGTTCCAAAAAAAGAAACGCAAATACGTACGCTAAAGTCTCCAGGGCCATGACGGAAAGAGACTACTCCAGGGACACAGAACAGTGTCGTACAAAAATCAAGGAGCTCAGGCAAGTGTACCAAAAAGCCAGGGAGGCAACCGGGCGCTCTGGGTCACAGCCCCATACATGCCGCTTCTACCGTGAGCTGCATGCAATTATGGGGGGTGACGCCACCACTACCCCATCACTGTCCATGACACCTGAAAGGGGGGAGTTGCAGGAGCGAGGAGGATGAGTTATTGGAGGACAAACAGGAGGAGAAGGAGGACAGTGCACAGGTGGCAAGTGGGGAATCCGTTTTCGCCCCTAGCCAGGAACTATTCTTAACGCTGGAGCCAATAGCCTCCCCCCACTCCCAAGGCGGGCTCCCAGACCATGACCCTGGAAAAGGCACTTCTGGTGAGTGACAGCCTGATCGGTGCCACGTGGTGGGGGCAAACCCAGCCGCGCTGGACTGTTCACGTTTAGTTTAAAGGGCTCATCCCTGCTCAGAGCCTCATCGGAGCCACGCAGTGGGTGCGGGGAGGGGAAGGGGGTGCGCTGTGTGAAGCGATCATCCCAGAGAGCCCGCAGGCCCTCCTTTTATATGGCAAACCCACCAGGCATTTCTTGCTATGGGAAAGGGGGCCTGGCAGTTTGAAAGCATTGAAATGAATGTGGAAGAAGCAGAACCCTGCGTGCCCCTAGGGCTTACCATGGCTGCCTGCAAGCTGAATTCTGTTGCCCGGCCGCGTATGATGGCTTACTCACACCAAAGTGGCAGGCACTCAGTATAAGAGGCAAAATGCGACCTTGTACAGAAAGAACATGTACTGTATACTATGAATTGCCCGTTTCACTGAGAAAGTGTGTCCCCTTTGTTCTCTAAAATGTATCTTTTAAAATACTACCCTCCCTTTTTCTCCTCCCGCAGGTGCAAATGTTACAACACGGCCCCTATCTACTCCGTCCCAGAGGCTGGTTCAGATTAGAAGGTGGAAAAAACGAACTCGGGACGACATGTTTGCCGAGCTTATGCAGTCCTCCCGCACTGATAGGGCCCAGCTGAATGCGTGGAGGCAAACAATTGCGGAGTCCCATAAAGCGTTAAATGAACATGAAGAGAGGAGGGACGCACGCAATGAGAGCAGGCAGGATGCTATGGTCAAGCTCACGGGGGAGCAAACTGACATGCTCCGCTATATGGTGGATCTAATGCAGGAAAGGCAGCAAGACCACAGACTGCCGCTGCAGCCCCTGTATAACCGCCCTCCCTCCTCCCCAAGTTCCATAGCCTCCTCACCCAGACACCCAAGAACACGGGGGTGGGGAAGGCTACGGGGACCCACACACTCAACCCTAGGGGATTGCACAAGCAGCAGAAAGCTGACATATGCGAACTTTTGATTTGGTTTCTGGACTTGTCCTTCCCTCCTCCTCCACCCCCCTAACCCAATACACCCCCCCCACACTCCCCTGGTCTACCTTCTGATTTCTCTCAATGAGTTGTGCAACAAATAATAAAGAACGGTTTTTAAACAATTGTGACTTTATTTCCTTTCATATATATAGGGGGCGGGTAACTTCAAGAGAAACAAACACAACTGTCACACCGTACCCTGGCCAGTCATGAAACTGGCTTTCAAAGCTTCTCTGATGCGCAGCGCGCCCTGCTGCGCTCTTCTAATTGCCCTATCTGCCTGTGCGAAATTGGCCGCCAGGCGAGTTGCCTCAACCTCCCACCCTGCCATAAACGTCTCCCCCTTACTCTCTCAGATATTGTGGAGCACACAACAAGCAGCAATTACAATTGGAATATTGGTTGTGCTGAGATCTAACCGAGTCAGTAAACCGTGCCAGCGCACTTTCAAACGTCCAAAAGTACATTCTACCACCATTCTGCACTTGCTCAGCCTATAGTTGAACTGCTCCTTACTACTGTCCAGGGTGCCTGTGCACGGCTTCATGAGCCATAGCATTGAGGGGTAGGCTGGGTCCCCGAGGATAACTATAGGCATTTCAATATCCCCAACAGTAATTTTCTGGTCTGGGAAGTAAGTCCCTTCCTGCAGCTGTTCAAACAGACCAGAGTTCCTGAAGATGCGAGCGTCATGCACCTTTCCCGGCCATACCACGTTGATGTCAGTGAAACGTCCCTTGTGATCCACCAGTGCTTGCAGCACCATGGAAAAGTACCCCTTGCGGTTTATGTACTGGCCGCCCCGGTGTTCCAGGGCCAAGATAGGGATATGCATTCCGTCTATTGCCCCGCCACAGTTAGGGAACCCCAGCGCATTAAAGCAATCCACAATGGTCTGCACATTTCCCAAAGTCACTACCCTTGATAGTCCAAAATGGTCAATGATTTCATTGGCTACTTGCAGCACAGTAGATTTGCCCACTCTAAACTGATTCCCGACTGACCTATAGCTGTTGGGCGTTACAAGATTCCACAGGGCTATGGCCACTCGCTTCTCAACTGTGAGGGCTGCTCTCATTTTGGTGTCTTTGCGCTTCAGGGCAGGGGACAGCAAGTCACAAAGTTCCATGAAAGTGGCCCTACGCATACGAAAGTTTCGCAGCCACTGGGAATCATCCCATACTTGCAACACTATGTGGTCCCACCAGTCTGTGCTTGTTTCCCGGGCCCAGAATCGGTGTTCCATGGCATGAACATGGCCTAATGCCACCACGATCTACCAATCGCCACATGACATGCTTCTAAGAATGTCTGTGTCCATGTCCTCATCAGTATAGTAATCGCGCTGTCGTCGCTTCCTCGCCCGGTTTTGCAGGTACTTCACATACTGCTGGATAAAGCACGAGGTATTTACAATGGTCAAAACTGCAGCGGAGATCTGAGCGGGCTCCATGCTTGCCGCGCTATGGCGCCTGCACGGGTAATCCTGGAAAAAGGGCGCGAAACGTAGGAGAGCAGAGTGGCAGCGGAAGAGGTGCTGTTCGGTTCACGATAGCCGAAAAAAGGTGGGAAATGGTTGTCTTCTGTAGCATTCACGGAGGCGGGAGACCAGGACAGACAACATGGAGAAGTTCGGTAGCCCGGCAAGAGCGGGAGAGCAGAGTTGGCGGCGGAACCTATGCTGCTCGGTTCACAATGGCTGAGCAGAGTTGGCAGCGGAAGCGGTCGATGAGGAAGAGAAAGAGTAGATACTTATGGAGATTACATAGAAAAACGAGAGGAAATGCGAGGTGGATTCATAGTACCAGGAGAGAAGCGGTGCACCGTACTGCACCGTCTGCTGAAAGCAGTATGGCGTCTGCACGCCAAAAAGGTGCGAAACGATTGTCTGCCATAGCTTTCATGGAGGGAGGAGCGACTGACGACACACCCAGAAACACCCGCGAGAATGTTTTTGCCCCATCATGCACTGGGAGCTTAACCCAGAATTCCAATGGACGGCAGGGACTGCGGGAACTGTGGGATACCTACCCACAGTGCACCGCTCCGATATTCGATGCTAGCCTCAGTACTGTGGACACACTCCACCGAATTTACACGCTTGAATGGGGACACACAAGACCAAATATACAAAATCGCTTCCAAAAATTCGAATAGAATAATTTCAAAATAATTTCGTACTGTAGACGTACCCTCAGAAACTCATCTCGCTGATGTCACCACCACCAGGAAAGAGACTTTACATGACAGGTGGGAAAGGGGGCAGGAGCCCAGCAGCTTGAAGGGCGGACCCATGAGCCTGGAGAGGACCAAGTTAAGATCCCATTGTGGGACAGGGGTCCACACCTGTGGGAAGAGTCTCTTGAGGCCTCTCAATAATCTGACCGTCATGTCATGAGAAAACACCGTCTGGCCCTGGATCGGAGGATGGAAAGCGGAGATGGCCACGAG